TTATAGAGTTAAGATGGTCTAAAAATGCAGTTACTTTATCTAAAGGTAGAATTGTGAAAGTGTCGTCTACGTGCCGCTTGTAGAAACTTGGATTTATGGGAGAAGTAAGCAGGGCTTTCTCCTCAAAGTCTTCCATGAATATGTCGGCGACAATGGGAGATACAGGTGAGCCCATCGCCACACCATCTACTTGCTTGTAGAACTCCTCCTTCCACAATAGGTAGCCAGATGTAAGGCAGTGTCTGAGTAATACTGCATATTCTACGGGCATGTTGTTTTCTTCCAGCCTTCTAGTTACAATTGAGATGCAGTCTTCAACAGGTAAGCATGTAAACAATGACTGCACATCAAAACTGACCATAGTTTCATTGTCTGCCAGACGTAGGTCTTTAATCTCGCTGACAAAATATATAATATTAATAAAATAACTCTATAAATTCTAAAATTCAGTTCACAATGGAGTTAGAGGCAAACAATTCCTTAGCTTTTCTAGATGTGTTAGTAATTCGGAATCCTGATAACACCTTGAGCCATACTGTGTATAGAAAAAAAGACCCATACAGATAGATATTTAAACGGTGATTCTCACCACCATCCTTCACAGTTAGCTACCGTGGGTAAATCTTTGTTTCAGAGAGCACGAGGGATCTGTGACAGTAAACACCTGGCTGCCGAGCTCCAACATGTCAAGCAAGTTTTGCATGACAACAAGCTTCGGGTCCCGCGCCTACGTCACAGAGAACGAGTGAAGCCGGCCACAGTCGAGCGTGTACCTGCTGTACTGCCATATGTTAGAGGAGTCACTGACAAGATTGGCTACATCTTGAAGCGCGCTTCCATCAAAACATACTTCAAGCCGCCGAAGAAGATTGGTCAGTTTTTACCATCAGTCAAGTGTAACGTCCCTCTGCAAGATGCAGGAGTGTACAAGCTTGATTGTGAATGTGGTCTCTCCTACATAGGACAAACTAAAAGATCCATTAAAACCCGCGTCAAAGAACATATAGCTGATGTGAAGAATCGACGCTCCGGGAAGTCTGCAGTCTGTGAACATGTACAGCATCGCCCCCGTCACTACATCAGATTTGATAGACCACAAATCCTCGCTAAAGAACACCGATTCCTTCCAAGGATGATTCGCGAGGCTATTGAAATCAAAAAACATCCTAATTTCAATAGAGAAGATGGCTGGGTGCTACCATCTGCTTGGGATCCTATAATAAATAAAATTAAATCCCAACCCAAGCATACAACTGCAAGACTCCATGATACCATAAGTTCATACTGTGTAGATCGGAACAAAAGTTAAATTTTAATCTATGGTAACCGCGGTTAACTATGACAGCTGGACGTTGAACATCTCAGTCCTTCCCGTGACCATGGGTGCTGTAAAGCTCTCGAAACGTCGGGTAATTAAAAAGTTAAATATACGCGATAAATTCCGTAAAAAACTAGTATTATTTCAATGTGTAGTGTTCGCGTAAATATAAGAAATCATTAAGTATTCATTTTGATGAATTTATTATGGAGCACAAAAACTAGCCACATTTCAACGATTTTCTTATCACTGAGAGAAAACAAAGGTATGAATAAACATTTGTTCTCAACATCTGCTTAATAAAAATATGTATAAGTAATAAAAAATGTTTATAAACTATCTTTGCTGTGTGTATTTTGATAACATAAAAAATAACATCCTTAACAGATAATAAACTGAAAGTAAATATATAATAACATCCAAAACTCTAGCTCTAGTTAACTTTATATTCGTCGTAGTTTCTGTCTTATCCTGCGGCGTATAGCCTGATATGGCCCCGTCTGTGTACACTCCTAGCTGATCTTTGAAAGTGATATCCTTTTATTAAGAAGCCCCCTGACTTATAGTAGACTGTTACCTGTTACGCCCGAACCTAATATTCGATCTTAATCTATTTTTAGCTATCCAAGATTGATAATTCAATCCATTTTATGGTTAGACAGTGCCAACAACCAATCCAGGGATTAAAATTACAATCTGTAGAAGCAAGCTATCCTCGGCAGGTCGGATTACAAAAAAAGATAGACCTCTGTGGGCGAATGACAATTTGTGTGTATCAATAATCTGTCAATTTTGACGTTTAGTTCGATCGGTGTAAACAATCCAAATTCGCAATCCGAGAAAAGCCTAGGATTAATCCTTCGAGTTCCAACCGATTACATATTTTGTTTTATTTTATTTGCGCGAAAATGGATTTAACATTACTATCTAGTAACAGTGACAGTGATTTGGAAATGCTAGCTCAGTTATCTGACTCGAGTGATGAAGATGAAACCCTACGCCGCACTCCAAAGGGAATCAGAAGAGTGAACTATACGCAAAGTCTCGATGACGGTGATTTTACCTTTAGGTTTCGATTGAACAAACATGCGTTCAATTCTTTATTGTTAGAAATAACCCCATTATTACGAGTAACATCCACGAGGTAAAGCAAAGCTGGTCTGTAGAAAATTAGATAATTTTTTACAATCTAAGTATATAATATACTTCATTTTATGTAATCCTTTGCAGAAATTACGGAGTATCACCATTGCATCAACTTTTTGTTGACCCTACGGTTTTATGCACTAGGCACAATGTTGATATCCGTAGCAGATTTTGTTGGAGTGTCAAAATCTACAGCAGGCAGAATAGTGCGAGACACATCATCAGCAATTGCCCAATTATATGATAAATATATTTATGTTCATCGAAGGAGTGCAGACAAAATCTATAGAATTGCTGGATTTCCTCGCGTGCTTGGGGCAATTGATGGCACACATATCCGCATACAGTCTCCATGTAAGTAACTATACTCAACTCTTCTTAAAATTTTGGCAAATATGAATAAACTATGAAGTTGCTAATAATAATGTTTATATATTTTAGTTCATTTAATAGGCGAATAATACAGAAATCGAAGGGTTACTTTTCTTTAAATGTTCAAGGTGTTTGTGATGCAGACTTAAAGTTTATAAATGTTGTGGCTCGTTGGCCTGGTTCTACGCATGATGCAACTATATTTAATAACTCTATTCTGAGAGGTAGGTGTAAATAATATGTATTCAAATTGTAATAAATTTGAATATTTTCTGTCAGAGCCTAATATTCTTTATTTTATAACAGCTGAATGTGATGCAGGGCAATTCGGAAATCGCTGGTTACTTGGAGATAGTGCCTATCCAAACAGGCCATATTTATTAACACCTGTTCTGAATCCAGTTTCTGAAGCTGAACATAGGTACAATGAAGCACACATTAAAACTAGAAATACTATTGAACGGTATGTTAAATAAAACAGTATTATTAGATAAAATGTGTTATGGGAATACTGGTGTTTAATAAACAAACTGTTTGTATTACAGAGCATTTGGAGTATGGAAACGTAGGTTCCCCGTTGTAGCTCTTACACTACGTTTGTCAATACCAAATATGCAGGCGGTAATAATACGAGTAGCAACTACAGTCCTACATAATATTTGCAGAAATCACAATCTCACAGAAATCCCCTCTGAAGTAGAACTACCATCTATCGACAATAGTACAATGCCTCATAATGTAGTTGTTAATGATATTCCTACAAACCATAGAACTGATTTGATAAATAATTATTTTATGACATTATAGAAACGTTGACACTCATTGGACAAATACTGCCTTAATTAATATTACAGGTAAAAACAATTATGTAGAATAAGTCAGAAATTAAATTGTTAGTATTTTCTTAGTTTTAAATTCAAATGTAAAAATAAAGCAAGTATTAAAAATTAATTTCTGTATTAAAAATACACATTAATTACTATATTACTATACTACTGAGATATTTATAAAAAGGAACTTAAATTATAACTGCCTTCTACTACTTCTATACCACATATGTGAGTAATAGTACTTAATCTTTTTAAAATATTGTTAAATTGAAATAAACTGTGAAGTTCCTATTAAGTGTTACTTTTCTTTATAAATTGTTTGTGAATTTAATTATATTTATTTAATTTTTATTATAGTAATTAATGTACATTATAAAAATGTACATTAATTACTATAATATTGATAAATTTATATAAAAGAAGTCAAATAATTATAACTACCTTCTATGTTTTATAATAGTCTCCATGTAACTGTGTGCTGGCGACTAACTAGAAATCAGAAATCACAAGTGGTACTTTTCTTTAAATGTATTTTATTTAAAGAAAAATTCAAGTTCAAAGCTTATGAACGATGTAGCTCATCGGTCTCCTTACCAACTGCATAAAGCATCTATTTTTTTGTTAACTGTTTTGAGATGCGGGTGCAAATAATATGTATTCAAATTGTAATGTGATGTGATGCAGGCTTGCACTGATGTTAAAGATGTTAAAGGTTAAAAATTGAATGTAGAATCAGTTGTTATTTTTTATTAAAGTTTGTAAATTTAATTGTAAAAATTTAAAAAATCAATAAAAATTATTTATCTCTATTAAAATACAATCATTACTATAATACCTAGACATTTATAAAAAAAAGTATTTAATTTGTAACTACCTTTTCCTCCTTTTATACCACATATCATCCACATAATAGTCTCCAAGTAAGTAAAAATACTTACCCTTTTTAAATTTTTGTTCAATTTAAACAGGAGTTGCTAATAATAATATTTATATATTATAGGCTATTTAGCAGGCAAAGAACTCAGAGATCACAAGTGTTACTTTTCTTTATATTTTGTGAATTTAATTGTAAAAATAAAATAAATATTCAATAAAAATGATTTTACTCTTTAATTACTATATTACTAAGACATTAATCTAACTTTAATACATTTATTACATACATATTTTATTGGTTAAAAGATTTTCAAATACAAACTATATAACTACTAATATTACAAATCATGAATACATACAAAGCTTGAATTTATTAACAATTACTTACAGACATGACTGTCTTTTATGTATCAGAATACTTAATTATTTTTTACACTTACATACTATTACACAAATAACTATTTCTTAAAATTTTCTATTTCTAATAGAAGTTTTTCATTTTCTAATTTAAGTTTTTTATTTTCTAATTTTGACTCCAGGCACAGTTTTTTAAATGTATAATATTCTGCAATGGCACTGTCTCTAGCAGATTTGGACCCATCACCCTGCAATTTCCTTTTACCTGTAAAATACAAATTAATTTAATTTATTAAATTACAAGTTAGCCTTTTTTAAAATAAAAAAAGGAGTATATCTTTTGCCTATTATTATTTTACCTCAATTTACACCGCTTTTAAACTAAAGCGGACTGCAAGTTTGACCATACCACCACCTCAGCGAATGGAACACCATGTGAAATTGTTATCTTATAAATTAAAATTCTATCAACATCAAAATAACCATTACCTGTTTTAGGAACATTGAATGTTACTCTCCGTGGTGTATCCGAAACTTTATTTTGTTCAGCAACAGCATTGGTGTTAACCTGAGCCATTGCTGAATGTGGAGAAGTAGGGGTCACAACCATTTCCTTTTGCGGATCTGGCACTGGTGTGTCCTGAAACTCTAGGATTTCTAGATTGACCCTAGCATCACCACCTAATTCCTCTACACCATTTCCATTTGGCACGATACCACCACCATCACTAATCACTACAAAAAGTGCTCGGGTTCCCTATCTCCCCCATAAGGAACAACTAATCCACTAGCTGTATTCCCCAATAAGCTGGTAACACGATCGAGTATTTCGTCTGGGGGTATATACTCACCAACACCACCGCCAGTCTGCAAATCAAAAAGATGAGATTAATAAAGAATGTAAATAAAATGGTTATTCATTTATTTATACTTAGATTAAAAATAAATAAACAACGAAACTAACGTTTATGCTGTTCATTCTTATTTTAGTGCAACGTTTACGTGCATTCTTCTTTAAATTCTTCCATTTCAGCCGAAGCTGTTGTGGTGTCCGACGACAACTTGTTGCTGTAGCATTAAACTGCTCGGCTATTCGTACCCACTCTTTGTCTTTCATTTTATTGCTGCTGGCGTTTGTGGCTTTAGATATTATAATTTTGCTCATTTCAGTAAGTTCGAGTAAGGCTTTGCTTTCATCTTTTGAAAGTGGCTTGCTCTTTATCTGAAATAAAAAGCGATTTATGTAGTTGTACATCAAGCATCAAATGATACAATATCTAATGTATTACAATTTAACTTACTATTTGTGGCTCCATTATTTTATTATTCAAAAAGTATTTGCTGTAAATATTTCTGTTCTCGAACTGTGATCGAACCGAAGCAGTGAAACTTGATAATTGTTTTGACCGACGCGAAACGCGATGAGCGATGACCGATGACGCTGCGGGCGCTACTGACCGGCGGCGTTCCGTTACGTGATTGTTTTCAAGCCATAGTTACATTGATTTAAATAAAAATATAATCACTTTATAATTTTTGGAAGAAAAAAGGAGTTAATGTAATAACTTCTAATTAAAGTCAATAGTTATAAATCTAAAATTACATTTTATGTTATTATATTAATACAACTATTTGAAAGAAGCAATAGTCGCTATGCATAAAACGAAACAGTCGAGAGGAAACGGATCGATCCAAACATCTGTTTGGATCGACTGCGATCGCCGCAAAAAAAAGATTGGGCTTGTTAAGTTATGTTATTGGGATGTGGATTTGGATCGATCTTTGTATAGGGTACGATCTCGGATTGCTATTAATCCTAAAAAAGAGATACGTTATTAAGTTCGGGCGTTAAGCACTCACTGTAAATTTCACAGCATGCGAGCGACTCGGGTCTGATTTCTGCCGACACCTTAATTTCAATTTTAAGTGCTAATTTTTCACTATCTTGGTGGTGAAGGAAAACATCGTGAGTAAATGAGATGTTCCAAAATGTATGAAGCCTGGGCTAGGTACTTGGGCCTTGTACACCATACTCAAATTTAGGGAATTAAATCGTTCTCAAATATTTCATTTTATAATGGCTTTGTTTGCTGGTAAAGTACAGGAACTTACATTTGAAATTGCAACACACAACGGAAACCCGTCATGGCGGTAAGCTGTAATTTTTATTGATTAATAAGGTTTTACATGTTTATTTTACGTATTTCTGAGACTGTTGTGATAACTGACAGTTCTCTTTCTATGATCAATGGTCGCTATATGGTTTCCTGTCATTGTTTATAAGCACTGGCGTATAAGTCTACGATAAGCACAGAGTATAACTAAATCGGTGAGACGCCATGTTGAAAGTCGATATAAATAATTGATAAACATCAATTATTTACAACGATGGGATATGTTTAAATGAATTATCTGTAATTTTTCCAAATTCTCAAGAATTTTCTTATTTTTTGAGGTAGTGCTTTGCATGTTTAAGGACATGTAAGTTGCTGTCAGAATACATGATAGGATTTCATAATCCCTCAGTAATGAACTCGTTGAAAATGAACACGTTTGAGGTTGATTAAAAAGATTTTTACGGATTTTGTCGCGTTTAATTTGATAAGTTCAATTCCCTAGATTCGGATGATTTCTAGTACCAGTGGTCACGGGGAAATGAGGTGACTGACGTCCCAATGTCAGTGTTGATTCGAAGTACCTTCAGCTATTTAGTTATCAGTTATGGTTCTATCTACGCAGTATTAGGGACTTAGTTTTAATTTTATTAATAACAGGATCCTAAGCAGGTGGTAGTACCCAGCCTCCATCCCAATTAAAATTGGGATGTTTTTTAATTTCCATTGTCTCACGTATCATTATTGGCAGGAATCAATGTTCTTTCGCGAAGATTTGTGATCTATCAAATCTGATGTAATAGCAGGGGCCGTCTTGGACATATATATTGTTTGTCTGTTTTTTATGAACGTATCATGATGTTTACATTACTAAATTGTATATTTTTAAATACCTATATCAAGTATGTTAAGTGAGATGTTACTCAAGTAAGCAAACTAATTCAATAGACCTTGAAACAAAAACCTTTAGTGATATAATCGACATCGATAGACTCTTTAGCAATTCTCAGTGGTATAAACAAGCAATTAAACTTACAATATTGTATGGAGGTTAATCATCTAATATAAATTTAAATATCGCAAGCAATGTGATCTATTATTAACTGTTCTGTTGATATTAGTTCATGTACAATATAGAGCTTTGATTACTGAAGCTTACCTCTTTTATCATTCATGCATACATCGCTCCTTACAGCTCCACAGATTTGTCATGCTTGACGAGCGGATCAGGAATCTCTTCTTTATAACTTTTGAATTGTTATTACTAAGATGCTACTGCACATGCCCTATTCACTCTATTGCCTTTTACGACACGGGAGTGAACTTTCGTACGTCTCCACTACATGGCAAATTAGAAATCTAGAAAGTCCAAACTATTCATTTTATAAACTTATTTACTTACTTCTCTTCTTACTTACTTACTTCTACTAAAATTCACTTCCGTGACCTAATTATTTCGAAATATTCCATTGTTATTCTTAGCTCAATGCTCAATGTTGAATGTCGTAACACACAGCAAAAGCATTTAGGACTGTACTGTGACATTTTGACTTACAACCAAACAGATAATCTATATATAGCAACATTGTTTGTATTGTGTAAAATAAAATTAATGGAAGCGTAAAATTGTTGGCTGGTTATATCTATACATATAAAAATTTTAAATGTCAGCCTGTAATATTTAAATAAACGGTTTTTATCAAATTTAAGAGTTTTTTTGCATGCTATTAAGACATTATGTCCTCATACTGCTGGCCGTATGAGGACGCCAAGGTCGCACAGCGAGCTATAGAGAGGGCTATGCTCGGAGTTTCTCTGCGTTATGGACTCAGAAATGATCATATCGGTAGTAAAACAAGAGTGACCGACATAGTCCAACGGATTAGTAAGCAGAAGTGGCAATGGGTCGGTCATTTAGCTCGAAGAACCAATAACCGATAGGGAAGAAAGGTTCTCGAGTGGCAGCCTCGTACCGGTAGGCGTAGTGTAGAGCGACCCCCCACTGGATGGAGTGACGACCTTGTAGGACATGCAGGAAGTCGATAGATGCAGGTGGCTCAGGACCGTGCTATGTGGCATTACTTGGGGAAGGCCTATGCTCAGCAGTGGACTTGTGAAGGGCTGTAATGATGAATGATGATGATGACTAAGAGGTGTCAGTTTGTCTGTGCGGGATGATAATTAGAATGGCTGAAACAAACATAAAGCAATCCCAGGAGGAAAATATGCTATATCATATATAAAAATTATAAAATGCTAATGCTATTTCACTATCCTATTAATAGATCCAAGCCAGCTGAAAGCAAGGCAAGCCACTTAGTTTTAAATAATACTTTCATTATCAATCCGCAACATCGTAAAATCCCAGTATTGGACATGAAATGAAAGATTGTATGGTTTAATTTCAGTGTTAAAAAGTAAAGTAAAAAGTAAAGTTACAGCCTATATACGTCCCACTGCTGGGCTCAGGCCTCCCCTCATTTCTGAGAGGGTTTAGGGCAAGGAAGTGTCCGCCGCGCTGCCCAAATGCGTGTTGACGAACTTCACATGTCTTCGAAATATTTTTTGTCTTATTCCTCAGACATGCAGGTTTCCTCACGATGTTTTCCTTCACCGCCGAGCACGTGGTAAATCAGCACTTAAAATTGCAATTAACAATTTCATTGGTGCCGGCGGGGATCGAACCCGGCTTACTCGCCTTCTATTATATTAACAGCGAGCGTTAACCACTGAGCTACAACGGCTGTGTTAATTATTCCTATTGTTACGAGCTTGAGGTTCGTGACAATAAAAATTGCCGATAAAATTACCTAAATTAACACTTTAATTTACTTTACACAAATTAAAACTTAAAACACTAATAATTAAACACACTAATTCACTTTATTTCGCTCCGAAGCTTCGCTTGTCTCGCCAAATTAACACTGCCCTGATCGCATCTTGCAGCGCCTATATATATACAAATTAGCAATAAAGCATCCGGAATATTCAAGTAAATGCGCGCAAAGCGACGAGTGTTCGAGTGTAGATTTTCTAGAAACTTAGTTCTTCAGATGGCGCTGTCGGTAAAGATTTGTGATGTCATTTTCTGCAAAGCTCCTGACACTAGATGGCGCTAGTGTATGACGTTGAGCGCGTAACACTATTATTTGTTTTTAAATTAAAATGACTAAGAAACTTATATTCCTCCACATGGCAAGAGGCTACATCAGTCCATGGACATTTAAAATTAACTTAAGAGGCACCTCTGCGCTATTCGTTTTTCTAAGCATATTATAAATTATAGCTTTTATAAAATAAACTACGCATTTATCTAATTTGTTTTGCTAGTTCCATTTTTGAGCAAAATCAATCGCTTAATAATATTGTTATATTAATTTCGCAGCTGTCAGTTGGCGAAGAAGCTTTTAAAATTGAGAAAGTTTCAAGTAGTATTCATCTGGACTTTTAAATTACTTTAGTTTTTCGTCGTTACGATATTAGATATTTCAGAATTGATTTCTCACAGATTTATTGCTGTCGACATGTTCAAGCAAACTAGACAACTAAGAGATAAAACTGCAAATCGGACTGATTAAAAATTAACTGATTCATTATCTCTGTCTACTCCTTTAAAATTTGACCGTTTTAAAAATTTTAAGAACATAATAAGTAGGATTGTGGGTGTCTTTGTGATCTTTATATTTGTTCAATGCATATATTTCATCGACAGTATAATTGGCACCTTTGCTTATTTAAGAGAGTTCATAGTTATTAAAATAATTAGTTTATGAGGAAACCAAAAATAATTTTATGATAGCATAGATTGTAAGTGTATCATCATCAAAATTTGTTCCAGTGTCATTATCCAGGGAGAATAATTATAGAAAAACGTTTGTTTTGTGGAATACCCGGATAAGGTGAATTTCAATAAGACCTCAAAATAATTTTGCTAGAAGTATTCGATCACAAATATTTAAATGCTATCTTCTCTATTTAAATATGTAAACATAAAAACCACGTAGTGGCGGGTAAGAATACCCACCACCCTATAACTCTTGGGTGGTGAAAGAGGCGACAGAGGAAAACTGAGACAGAAGATAGACAGCAACATGTTTCTGATACCAGCAAAAAGCAATAAAAAACTGCGGTTGAGAACTCGCTATACAACCATATAAGCAACGACAGAAATAAGACAGTGCAGACATATTAGTTGTTATGTT